GAGAGAGAGAGAGAGAGAGAGAGAGAGAGAGAGAGAGAGAGAGAGAGAGGGAAGTGCACGTAGCAGCATAGCACGCGCCCCCACCACCATGTGACCAGGTGCCCTGCCCTGGTGGCCCCAGCGGGCGGCAGTGCGTGGTGGGCGGCACACCGCGTAACACACACACACACACACACACACACACACACACACACACACGTCGACTGGTGCAAAATGAAAGACACACACTACAACGCCCGCCCACACACACACACACACACACACACCACCCGTCTTGTAAATCACGTCAAGGAAAGGGGCATTGCGCTGGTGCTCTTAACACAGTCTTGATGCGACTCATTAGCTCTCCGTCCCTTGCAGAAATAAGTATATCTAGGTGGATGTTGGGATTGTCGCAGCGGAGGGACACACCCCTCCGGCGATGCAGTATTATACATCTCGAAGGTAAGAGCTCACCCAGAAAATAAATTACTACCGTCATTCGCCGTTAGGAACCTCCCGATGTCCAGCCTCAACAAGCTCTCATGGCGCCTGAGAGGTAGGCAACACATCGGCTGTAGCGCATGCGTGTACTGCGGAGTGGCCTACCCCGAGTCTCACAGGCGCCGATAGCTCCCATACAATTTGCCGAACCAAACTCAGAAAAGCGGACGAACTTTCTGGACTGGACGATCCCCAACCGCGTGAGAAATAGTGCGCCTACGTTGCGCTCGTGTTGCCTTCTCGTTGGGGACGCATAGAGTTCCATAGCCCTCCTCCCGGGTGCCACCAAGGGACCTGGGTTACTCGTGCCAGCCGACCGCGCCCTGCTGCCATCAGTTCCAGTCAATCATAGGCCAGACTCCCCCCTTCCCCGCTCCCTCCGGATGCCACAACACCCAGCAGCAGCAGCGTCCTTGTTCGATGCCGCTACTTTCTAAATTAGACTTGTATCGAAACAAACGGCAAAATAATTAGTCGGGTGACGGCGCGCGGGGAGGAGCACGCGGCGCTCGCAGAAACAAGAAATTAAAAGTAGGAAGGGCCGAAAAAAAAACGTAATCAGAACAAGGTCCGCCTGGCCGTGCCGGGGCGCGACTCGTCAGTGTCAAAGCACATCCTTACGGCAACCAGTTGCCAGGCCCCAGCGCAACGCGGTGCAGAGGCGGCGGCCGGTGCAGCCCGGCCGGCCCGGCCCCAACAAGGAGTGCGAAACAGTGTCAATGAGCATTTGTCATGTCGGGTAGGCTGTTTGACTTGCGCGGGAGTCAGTTTTGTTCATTTCATTATTTGTGGTTTGTGTCTAAATACGACACATCACATGAAGCTGCGGTTGCTTCACCCACCTTAAGTGGCAGTCGATGAGACAGTAATAAATGAAATTTGTGTCACAGAGAAATAAAAACTATTAACGAACTTCTGAATTGGAACTGATCCGGCCATTTGCGACTTTCTCCCCAAACCCTACTTGTTTCAAAACGTTTTGGAAACTCGGTTTCAAAATGTTTCGCAATTGCATTTCAAGTAAAATTCCATATTGTAAATTTCAGTTAGTCTGGTCGGTAGTTCGAATAAATGGCACGGCCTAGCCATAGCGCCCGCGGGCTGGGCGGGTAGGCAACCGGAGCGCAGCGCTGCGCGCGGCCCGCAGACGAGGCCTACCTGCACGGCGGAGCGGTCCCGGCCCTCCCGGCCCGACCCGGACTCTGGCACACGTGGCTTACCGTGCGAGTTATTAGCGCACCACAACATGCGAGGCGGCGGCGGCGGTGATGCGGCAAAAGCCCCAAGATTCAAGCATTCGGAATGAGCAAACAGCGTCGCGTTCTCGACAAAGTGGAAAATGACAGCGCGCGCGTGTTTATCGTTGTGGGGAAAATCGGGAGAAACCTCTGTAGTTTGGATTTCAACAAAACAAAACAAACACTGTCGAAACAGACTTTTGCATACGTTTCTCGTGTAAAACGATTTATGTCGATTTAGTCTGCGTGAAGCTCAAAGAAGATTCTATCACTTACAACGTCCCAACTCAGTTTACCATATCATACTGCCTGCTAGTATTTTTATCTTAATCGAACTCGATCGAACCCGTTAGGGTTTCTTCTATCTACCCGACACAGAGGGTGGGCATCACGGAATGCCTGCCAAACACCTGTTGCACTGCACAGTAACGTTAAAAATCGACACAGTGCGAGAAGATCCACCCCGCCCCTCCAAGAACACAAAAATAGATCACTGTGAAAAATATTAGTAGGTTTTGTGGGAACAATTTTCATGCAGCACAATGCCGTAAAATTAGTTCAAAATTTTAAAATTACAGGTTTTACGTATCAACTTGTAATTTAACTGCGAGTGAAAGTGGTCTGTCGTAAATTATTATTTGGTAAATAGAAAATTAAAATGGAAATCGTAAATTCACGAGGATATTTTTCACAGTGCGAGCCATCTGCCTCCTCAAAACAAACACTTTTGTAAAGTATGATAACGTTTTCAATAACATTTTTTGTCAGAATGCCATTAAAATCGGTACTGCGTCGCAGAACACGTAAAATATTATCCCTTCTTTTTCTCTCTGAATGTTAAAATCTCATGCTTGGGGCCGTTGGTCCGACGACAGAGAGACTTTGGCAACGGACTTCTGCCGCTCGCCTCTCGCCCCGCCCCCCCCCACATGTGCCTCTCGTGTGGCACTGCTGCTGGAGTGATCCTCGCCCGGAGCTGTGGAGCCTAGGGCCCCGGAGGGGGGCCCGGCCCGGAGCTAGGAGAGGAGGAGGAGGAGGGGGGGGGGCGACGCGGCTAGGCCCACCGTATAAATACAACCGGCGGCGTGGGACGCGCCACCAGTGTCTGTCTGTGCCGTGAACCGTCCACCCCTCCGGTGAGTGAGTGATCGCAAGTGACAAAAAGTGACGACCCGATAGTGATGTAAGAGTGTGAGTGAGCCGCCCGCCCAGCGCCGCCCCGCCCCGTCTCTGGATTACTACTCAGTGCAACGTGTCGACCAAAATCAGTGCGCAACTGGCAAACACGTGGTGTGTCTTAAATTAGTGGGGGGGGGGGGACATTTGTAGTAATAGAAAAAAAAACATGCGAAAATTTGTAAACCTAAAACTTCAATCATAGTGGTTTAACGATTCCAACTTGCATTTTTTGTTCTGTTGTAAATCCACAACATCTTAATTAAGTTAAAAAATGGATGGAATGTTTAACTTAAAAGATATACCTTCACAGTACGTATGTTATTGAGTGTTATCGTAGTCAACTTACAACAAGTATTATGCCAATTAGTCCCGCCATTAGTTAGCTTAGTGCTTCGCTTTAGTGAGTTTTCGATAATACGTACATAAGGAAATAGACATAAACTAGCTAGACTTCGAGTAATTTCCTTCGTTGTAAGAAAATTGACTACGACAAGAAAATTTTCTTTTTCGTTGTTTGTTTGTCTACTGCTATTTGTCCGATGTTTTTCCATTCGGTTTTGTTGGCAGTTTCCCTGTTCCTCCCCGTTCGACCGTGACTTTTGTCTCGTGTTCACGCGTGGTGGCGCTGGGTGGGTTCCAGCATCGGCACTTAGAGCCTCGCGTTGCCCGCTATCATTACCGAGGCGGCGATTGAAGGAACGGAAAGCCCTCGCTGCATTGCACGGTCTGGCTCTACTGTCATTGCCAACACCTCGTCCAACACACGACAAAATAAGTCGGCGATGTAACGAACAAAAGTGGCTGACATTCGTCACATTTTTATTATTTTGTATAGAGCACCATCAATAAAACGCATTACATGCGGTTTCATAATTTTCACATGTCCCAGCGCGATTGACAGCTTGATTGGTTAAAAAATGTTTGTTAAAAAAGGGGCTCGAAAAATGTTTTGTCAAATTTATAACTTACTTCAATTTTTTACATGACACCTGTAAAAAATATCAACCGATAAAGAAAAAAAAACAGAAAACCAACTGTTATCCGAATGAAGAGGGGGGTGGATGCTGGTGGACGAATAAAAAGGGGAGGGGGAGGGTGGTTGCTGGTCGCCGAGGAAGGGTGGCTTCAGCGGCTGCATCGCGTGCCGCCTGGCCGCCCGGACGCGTAGAC